CGAGCAAATCCCACTCCCTTTCCTGTGGAATTGCTCCCAATCCAAGGCATCTGATTACCAAAAAATAAAAGGTAATGGAATCCCAGAAATTCCTTCTGAATTTGCAAAGGAATTGGGAAAAAGGCGGAGGGGGGGGGGGAATATGGAACTGAGAATTCCACGCTATTCCCAGTTGGAAAAGATACCCAGAGCCAGAGTCCAGTGGGGAACCAAAGTGAGCTGGGGTAATCTTTCAATCCAGCAGTAAAATTCCAGTGGGAATATCCCGTTTTTCTCACCTCCCAGCCACAAACCCAGGAAGGAAAACTGATGATTTTTCCCTCAGGATTCCCCTCCTATCCCTGGAATCACGAGTGCTGCCCCATTCCCTGGGCAAATCCGAGGCCCTGCTGGATTCTATCCCTCCTCCTCCTCCTCCTCATCCTCTCCAAAGTGGAAGATTTTCGGGATAGAATGGAAAAACCTGGAAAAGAGCCCAGTGTGGGAAGCAGGAATGGTGATGGTGCCGGTGGGAGTGATCCAGGCTTTGCTGGGATCAGCTCCCGCTGGGAATGACCTCGATGTTTTCACGTGCTTCGAGCCTTTTTCCTGCCAAATTGTTTGGTTTTTTTTAAGGAATATTTGAACTTTTGGCTCCTCTCCCTTCTGAATTTTGGGATCTCTCCTTGGATGGGGAGAGGGGCTGGAGTTGCCACATCCCGACGTGGAGGGGGCGGGTCTGGATTTCCCAGTGGATGCCAAATATTTATAATCCCCTTTTTAAAATGGAATTTATTCTGTGACATGATCCAGCAAAGGGATCCCACATTCCAAACGGGATCATCTTGAGGGGAGAGAAGATTCTGGGAAGATCAGGATCAGGAGAACAATAAACCCAGGCTGGATTGTTTTGGGAATGACCTTAAAGCCCATCTCATTCCAACCCCTTTGGCAAACAAGGAATTCATTGTCCCGGGAAAGCTGGGCAGGGTCTGGAGGAGCCGCTCATCCCTTTGGAGAATCCCACCCTGCTTTTCCTTCCAGTTGTTGCCGCCCTGGCCGGGCAACACCCGGCACTTCCCGAACCTCGGGAATGTTTCCAACCCTGCCTTTCCCTTCACATTCCAGAGCCAACTCCTTCCCGGGATTTTGCACATCAGCGGTTCAGCGCAGCTGGGCTGGGACAGCGCTAAAAAAGCAGGAGGAAAAAGGGGAAACAGGGAACCATCCAGCTGGGGGGGGATGGAAACTCTGGGACTGTGCCAGGGCTGAGTCATTCCCGGCCGGAGGGGCTGGGATGACATTTGGGAATGGCAGCAAATCCCGATTGGCTCAGCTCAAGGTGGAGCCGGAGCGAGTCCAGATCCCGCTTTAACCCCATCCTTGGGTTTTGCTGTTTGTGGGAATTTGGGAAGGGCTGGAAGTCTGGATTGTGCCACAAATGTGGGAATTCCAACAGGAGGGGGAGGGAAAACTGGCAGGGAATTCTGTGGGATGAGCAAACAGCCTCCAAAAAGGGAAATAATATTTAATAACAGTGCCCAGCTCTTCCCTGCCTCTGCTCCAGGAAAAAAAAAAAAATACACATCTATGGATACACCTTCCTTGATCCATGCGTGGGGTGTCCTAAACATCCCAAAGGAAAATGGGATTCCCCAAATCCTCCATCCCGGATCCCAGAGCCTTTTGCAGACCTGCCTGTCCCCATTCCTGGCATCACAAGGCTGGGTCTTAACTCCTACCTTTGGAATCCTGCCTCTGGAACAACATGGGAACACAGGGATCACTTTGGATATCCTGATTTTAGGTGGAAATTGGGAATTCTGTCGTCTCCCCACCCCGTCCTGTGGGCAGGGAAAACCTGTTTTCCATGGGGAAAAATGTGTGAGCCAGAGGGGGGGAAAAAAGAAGGAATAAACTCCTCATGGATCATGTTTATGTTTAAATTTTTGTTTATGTTTATGTTTATATCGAAGTTTATGTTTATATTTATGTTTATATTTAGGTTTCAGTTTCAGTTTCAGTTTCTGTTTATGTTTATGTTTAGGTCTAGGTTTAGGCTTAGGTTTATATTTATGTTTATTTATTCCTTATTTATTCCACCTTTCCACATTCCTTAATTATTCCACCAGGAAAAGCAGATAAAGGGAGAGAAGGATGGAAAATGCCAGCCTGGAATCTGGACTCCAAGGAACCAATTCCCTGCTTCCATGAAAAGGAGGGAGATGCCTGCAAGGATTGGGATGTTTGAGATGGGAACTGTTCCTTCCTCTCCTCATTTCCACGGAAAAAAAAAATCATGGAATGGTTTCAGTTGGAAGGGATCTTAAATCCTCTCATCATTCCATGGGCAGGGACACTTCCCAGAATCCCAGAGTGCTCCAAGCTGGCCTTGGACACTCCCAGGGATGGAGCAGCCACAGCTTCTCTGGGAATCTGTTCCAGGCCCTCCTCATCCTCCCAGGGAAGGATTTATTCCCAATATTCCATCTAAGTGTGCTCCCTGCAAGCAGTTCCCCTTCTCCTGTCACTCCACCCCTTGGGAATAATCTCTCCCTGTTTTCCTCCTCGGCTCCTTCAGCTGCTGGAATGTCACAATGGGATCACCCTGGAGCTTCTCTTTGCCAGGCTGAGCAATCCCAATTCTCCCAGTTTTCCCCTCCATCCCTCCGATTATCCCGGAAATAAAATCCTCTGGATTTGTTCCAACAGCTCCACGTCCTTCCTGTGCTGGGAGCCAGACGTGGACGCAGAATTCCAGGTGGGATCTCCCCGGAGCAGAGGAGAAGGGATGTGAAAACCTAAACAAAGCCATTCCTTTTCCTGGCACTTGGAATTCCATTCCCATTGAACCCCTGCTAATTCCTGCTCCTCTGCACTGCCCGAATTCCCAAAATTTCATGTGACAGGAGCTCATTCCCCTTTCCAAGAGCCTTCTCAGAGCTTCCCAACCCCGGCTCCGTGTCCTTGGGATGTCTCCGGAGGGAGCCGAGTTCCTCCAATTCTTTTCCCGCACAGGTGTCCCCCACCTCCGGTCCCATTGTCCCTCATCCCAATCCTGGGATTTGCCGCCGCTGACGTCACACATTCCACGCCCTTTTCCTTCTGTAACCTCAGAGCGACGTCTTTTAACCAATTCCTTCATTTTCAGCAATTCCCTATCTTTTTTTTTTTTTTTTTTTTTTTTTTAATTATTATTATTAGCTTTAATTAATCGTACTGGATATTCCCTTCGGTGGGAATTCCCCTCTCCAGATCATTTGGGTTGGATTCCTAAGGGGAAACGGGGGGTTATGGTTTTGTTCAGCCAAGGGGGGGGGTTGGGAAAGAAAAATCCTTTGAAAGTTCAGAGCCAGGACTTGGATTTTCAATGGGAACATCCAAAAAAATTTAAGGAGTGTGGAATATCCAATAAAAATCAAACCAGTACCAGAAATTCCCCAAAATATTCCCACATAAACTTGGAACGTGGAGATCTTCCTAAAAGTGATGGGAGGGAGCTTTCCTATCCATGAAACTCTTAAGAACAGGGATATCCCAATTTTACTTTAAAAAAAATAAAATAAAGCCACTGGAAAAGGTTTTTAGCTTTATTTTTGCAGATATTCCATGAATAGTCCATGCTTTTGAACAGGAAGCTCTTCCCTGGATCCTACACATCCTAGGGAAGAACATTCCCACCAATTCCATGATTGCCCTGAAATGACTTTTAATATTAAAAATATATTCAAATATTTTGGGATTTTCCCCAGTTTGGGGATATTCAGAGGAGCTGCAGTTAAAAATTCCCAGATTTTGTCCAGGAAAACTTGGTTGGATTAAAAAAAAAGGCCAGGTTGGGTTGTGGAAGGAAGTTGTTGGTTGGAAAATTGTAGGATCAGCTGGGTGGACAAATCATGATCCATGTTTTTCCAACAGCACAGCTGCGTCCTGGGCTGGCAGCAGGGAATTGCTTCCCTGCTAAATTCTTTTATTCCAAGTCCAAAAAAAAAAAAAAATTCTCCCCATTCCTGGAATTCTGGATAAATCCAATTAGAAGCAGCATCCAGGTAGGGTTTCTCCCTCCCAGTTTTTTTGGGAAGTGGTTGTGCCGCAGTGTCACTCAGCTGGGAGATTCCAATGGAAATCCCAGCAGTCAGGGATGCTGTGCACGAGCAAGCCTGGGAATAATCCACAGTTTTTATTGGGATTTTTAGCAGCTTCTTTAATTAGGAGGGAAGTGAAGGAGCAGATTCCTGGTTTTCATTTCTCTGTTGGATCACGGCCATTCCCTCAGGAATTCCAAACCCACCTAACTCGAGAAATCCTGGAATGGGCAGTGGATCCACGGCTGTGCCAAGCGGGAAAAGACTCCCCAAACTGCCAGGGTTCAACCCTGGATCTGCTGCTGCCAGTGGGAGAAATCCTGGGCATGCAGGGAGGGAACTGGGAGCAGCCCAGTATCCCAGCATCAAGGTCTGGGAGAACCCATTCCAGTGGAATTGTCCCTGCCCTGCTCACGGATGAGATTTTCCAGCCCAAACCTGGAATTCCGTGAGGAATCCTCGTCCATGGAATGGCAGGACAGCGCTGCTGGGGATGGCACCGGAGCCCGGCCGGGCTTGGCTCCATCCTGGTATTCCCAGGACCTTCCCACGACCCAGCTCCTATTTCAGAGCTTTTCCATCTATTTAAAGAAAGGGGAAAATGCGCTGGAATCTTCGCGCGTGCGCGGCAGAGCCCGCTCCAAATATTCCCTCTTTTTTAGAGAGGCCGATATCCACGGATCCCACGGGCTTCTCAGCCGCGATGTTTTCCTTCCCCTTTTTAGCAACACGTGCCTCGAAAAACACTCCCGGCCCCTATTAGGGCTTGGAAAACTCAGCTGCTGCTGCCGGAGGGAATCAATCAAAAATTTAAAAAAAAAAAAAAAAAAAAAGCAACAAGCAGGAACGCGGCGTGTTTCCCCCGAAACTTTGGGATGGGAGCGAGGAGCCGGCGGGAAAGGGAAGCCAGGGGAGCCCAGCGAGGCTCCACGCTACAGGAAGCCGCGGCCTCCGGTGATAAATAGGAAAGCCGGGAGCACAGGATGTGTTTCGGGAGAGCTCGGCGGGACAACGGGATGTGAGCGCCGGCCGCGACTCCGCTGGTCACTTGTCCATTTGTCCATTTGTCCGGCGGGATGGCCGCGCTCCGGCCGCTCCTGCTGCTGCTGCTGCTGCTGCTGGCCTGGAGCTGCGGAGGGGAGGACGTGGAGGTGCTGTGCGCCGACAGCGCCTGCTACACCCTGCACCGCGCCGAGAGCACCTGGAAAAACGCGCAGGAGCGCTGCCGGGATAACGGGGGCAACCTGGCCCCGGTGCGCAGCGCCAGCGAGGCCGCGCGCCTGCGGGAGCTGCTGGCCACGGCCCGCTGGGCTGGCCCGGCTTGGCTCGGGCTGGCCCTGCCGCGGGGTCACTGCGTGCAGCCGCAGGAGCCGCTGCGAGGCTTCTCCTGGGTGGCCGGGGGCGAGCAGGGCAACTTCTCGGAGTGGGCATCCGAGCCGGCCGTGACCTGCGTGAGCGCCCGCTGCGCCAGCCTGCGGCTCCCCGGCGGCTGGAGCGACCGCGCCTGCCGCAGCCCGCTGCCCGCTTTCCTCTGCAAGTTCAGCTTCCAGGGAATGTGCGGGCTGCTGCCGCTGGCCGGCCGCGGCTCCGTCACCTACAGCACCCCGTTCGGGGTGCGCAGCGCCCGCCTGGCCGCCGCCCCCTTCGGCACGCTGGCCGAGGTGCGCTGCGAGGCCGCCGGCAGCTCGGCGTTCGCCGTCTGCAAGGGGCCGCTGGCCGGGGGTGGCTTCGCCTGGCACCCGCCGGGCCCCCTGTGCCCGGTGGCCTGCGGCCACCTCAATGGGGGCTGCCAGCAGCTCTGCCTGGACGGGCCGGGCGAGTCGCCGCGCTGCGCTTGCCACCCTGGCTACGTGCTGGCCGCCGACATGGCCTCCTGCGTCCCCGAGGATTCCTGCCATCCCAACCCGTGCCAGGGCTCCTGCCGGCCGCTGCCCGGCGGCTTCGAGTGCGGCTGCGAGCCCGGCTACGCCCTGGCAGCCGACGGCCGCGGCTGCTCGGATGTGGACGAGTGCGAGTCCGGGCCGTGCCAGCACGAGTGCCACAACGTTCCCGGTGGCTACGAGTGCCTGTGCCCGCCCGGCTACCGCCCCGCGGGGCCCGCCGGCCGCCAGTGCCACGACGTGGACGAGTGTGCCCAGCCCCACGCGTGCCCGCAGCTCTGCATCAACATTCCCGGCTCCTTCCGCTGCACCTGCCGGCCCGGCTTCCAGCGGCAGCCGGGAGGAGATTCCTGCCTGGATGTGGATGAATGCCTGCGGGATCCGTGTCCCGGAGCCTGCCGCAACTTCCCCGGCGGCTACGAGTGCCTGTGCCCGCCCGGCTTCATCCGGGACGGGGATGGGCACGGCTGCAGCCCCGGAGAGGCGATCCCAAACACTATTCCAGAGAGCTCCAGCGTCCCACAGAGCTCCGACAGCATCCCACAGAGCTCCGACAGCATCCCACAGAGCTCCGACCCCATCCCACACAGCTCCAGCAGCATCCCACACAGCTCCAGCATCCCACACAGCTCCAGCAGCATCCCACACAGCTCCAGCAGCATCCCGGGCACCACGAGCATCCCATGGACCACGAGCATCCCGCGGACTCCGGGAATGCCCACCGAGGGATTGGGGGGCGGCTCGGACGAGCACAGCGCCGACGGCCCGCGGCTGCTGCTCTATTACATCGTGGGCAGCCTGGTGGCCATCCTGCTCCTGCTGGCGTTCGCCCTGGCGCTCGTGGCTTGCAGGAAAAGGGCGGCCAAGAGGGAGAAGCCGCCGGCCAAAAACGCGGCCGATAATTATTGCTGGGTGCCCGAGCAGCCCGAGAGCCGCGGGGAGCGCAGGTAGGAGGGGGTTAAAAAATCCCGGTGAAAGGGTGGGGAGGGAATGCTTTGTGCCCCAAGTGAGCTCCTCTGGCTGCTCCAGTGGGATTTGCCGTCCTGCTGCTCCAGGGGTTAACGGGAGGGGACAGGGAATGGGGTGGAATTTGTCTCCTCAGCTCCGCTCCCAGAGGCGGATTGGGAATGATTGGATCGTGTTCCTAAAGGGAAACTGCTCGCTTGGAATTCTCCTGCAGCCCCTCGTGCACTGCTCCCCCTGCTCGTGGCTGCATTCCAGCCTCGGATTTGCCTTGGAAAAGGGTTTGAAGTCGGGGTGGAATAGGGTTTGACAAGGGGATGTGCCTCAGCAGGGCCCGAACAGGCTCCTGCAGGCACATCCTGGGTGGGGTTTAAGGGTTATTTTTGGGGTTTTATTAAAAGTCTGTGGCCTGAAACCAGGGAAAACTGCTCAGCACGGAGCCAAGGAATGGCATAAAGGTAGGAAAAGCTGTGTTTGGAATAACCGCCTCCTCGTTTCCAGAGTATCCTGCCTAAATCCTCTTCTAAACAGAGAAAACAATACTCTCCTTCCCATCAGCCACATGGGAGGCTGGGCTTTTCCTGTTGGATCTTTTTTTTTGTTGTTGTTGTTGTTTTTTTTTGGGAAAGGATCCTTCCCGGCTCCAGGCTGAGTGTATTTTTCCCTCTTTCCGTGTCTAAGGTATACGCTGGAATTGGAATATTTGCTGATTATTCTGTGTAAAACTCCTAACTCCCCCAAAAACTCTCCGGGCCAAGTTGCTGCCTAGGTACTTCCCAAAATTCCTTGAGCGTCTTCCAGCCTTTCCAGTGGGAATTCTCCCCCAAAATCCCGAGGGGCACATCCAACAGCACCTCCTCCGTGGTTTATCCATGCTCTGAAGGGCTGGAAAAGATCAGCCACAGGATTTGAAGTGTCCTGGAGTTTCTGTTGGAATTGTTTTGTCCCTGGGGCTGAATCGCTGCGGGGATGGGGATGGAGCACAAAGGAGGTCGTGGTGGGCAGGGAGCTGCATCCTGTCGTTCCATGTGCCGAGGAAAACCCTTTCCTGCTTTTTTTCTTGTCTTGGGGCTCCATTGTGAGCTTCAAACAGGAAAATGGAGCTGATAGGAACGTTCTCCATGTGCTGCCCGGGTTGGGAGAAAGGGGAGGGGGGGGAACGTAGCAGCGGGATTCTTGGAAATGCTGCCGAAAATTCCCAAATCCCAAGCCAGCAGAGCATTGGGAATAGCTGGATCAATGAAGGAAATTAATCACCCCGTGCAATTATGCTGGTTTGGGATCTGTGGGAAGTGACAGCCTTGGGATTTTTGATGGGGTATAACAAAGGGAAAGGAAGGGTTAGGGTGGGAACCAGAGCTGGGAAAAACCTGAGGTGTGCTGTTTATTCCCAAAAAATCGCCATCCCGATTTCTGTTACGTCCTCTGTGTATTCCAGTGGGGAATGATGGTGGATCTAGGGGAAGACATGAATTGTGCCAAGGTTTAGGTTGGATTCTCCCTAATGGGAATATTTCCTGCTGTATATCCTCCCTCCTGGTGCAATTCCACCTGGATCCAACCTCATGTCTCTCGTTTTTCCTGCCACATCTTGATCCGTGGCCTCCTTAATCCATGGACTGGTGAATCCCACAATTTGGAGCAGGATGATTTGGTGCCCTGTCTTCCACAGGAGACAGGATGTTCATCCTGCTCCTTGGAGTTTTTTGTCGTGCATGAGTGTTTTGTTTTGGATTTACAGGATAAAGTTATCCCAACACCTCTCTCCGGATGAAATTCAAAGAAAACCTGAACAAAAATGTGTTTGCAGTGGGTTTGAATAAAGATATTCCTAAAAATCCATGGTCTGGTGCTCCTAATCCTTGTGCTCCCCACGGTGGGGGGGGTGGTGATCCCAAATCCTTCCCTGGGGTTTATCCCAGGATTTCCTCAGCCTTTCCCAGGATTTGTGGTCCTGGGCAGGGGCCATTCCCTTCATCCCTGCCGAGGCTATGGGGTGGGAGCAGCGGGATGGGCTGTGTTGGATCCCAAGACCACAAAGAAGGTCCCAAACTCATAATAAAGGTCCCAAACCCACAAGCCAGGCCCTAAACCCAAGAGGAAGGGCCCAAGTCCATGAGCAAGATCCTAATGGCATGACCAAGTTCCCAAAACCACGAGGAAGGGCCTCAACCCACAGGCAAGGTCCTAAGGCCATGACCAAGTTCCTAAAACTGTGAGTGAGGCCCCAATCCCATGACCATGTTCTCAATCCCATGACCAAGGTCCTGACTCC